CCTCGGAAGGAAGGTTGGGCAATCCTACTTCTGTAGTGATACTGCCTCGGATACCCAAGGAGGGGTCGCTATGAGTCGGGGCCGACTCGACGGCAAACAACAACAACAACAATTTCAGAAGTTTCCATTCCTAAAGATTTTTAAATAAAATAAGGGAGCAATCCTGTAGCTGGTGAGAATACATTCTTGGTCTGGAGGCTGGGAAAGTAACTGTGTTTTCTCTCCATGCTCTGTCTGGTCTTTGGACCAGAGTCCCCCATCTGTTGGCAATACCCAAGAAATGGTAGATAGAAAAAATGGTCACCATACAAGCCACCACACTGTAAAAAAGTGTGAGGCACTGAGTCTCTGTGGGGCTGAGCTCAGCAAGACTCATTCAGTTCTCAAGCAGAGAGGCAAGCCCAGTACCAAAATCCCTGTGCTCCAGAGTCCCATCAGGCCTTTCCGTGTTTATTTTTAGTTGACAAAAAAACTGACATTTAGAAGAAGGAAAGAGTGAAGAGAAGAGAAAGAGGTAAGGAAGTAAAATTCTGTGTTGTGAAAAGAACCTCACAATTCATAGAGCCAAAAGTAGATGGGCTGCGATATTGAAAAAAAAAAAGAAATAGAAGTGGAGTGATAGCTTGATGAACAAACCAGAAGTCCTCAGTGATAAATTAAGGCAGAGAGGATTTGAATCTGGAACCTCTTCTGAAGCAAGCTCCTTCTTTTCCCATCTAGAAGCTTCCATTGAAACCCCATTCAGAAATCCTCCCAGGAAGCAGTTTCTGGTGGGGAAGGGAAAACAAAGGGACTCATGGGCAGCAGCTTCTCCTCCAGGCTGTCACCCATGGACCCAAGAGAACTGAAGGGCACGGGCAGGACACAAAGGGACTAAAGAGGAAAACGTCTTCATTTCTCCTTTCAGGCTGAGGAGACAAGGCTGGGCCCCAGAGTCACTGGACCAGAGTTCCCTGTCTGTTGGCAACACTCAAGAAACAGCAGGATAGAAAAAACAGGAACAGGATGCTCTGGCTAACACAATTTCCTGGAAAATAGGAGTTCCCCAGAAGCCTTTGTACTCAAGTCAGTCCTCTTCACAGCTGCTTCCTGGAAAGAACCCAATCTGCCCCAGAAGATACCTTCTTACGAATCATCTTCTACTTTTAACATTTGTTTGGATGTTTTTGTTTGCTTGGGGTTTTTGCTGCTGGTGGTGGAAGTTTGTTTTGCTTTTGGAAACATGTATTAAGGGGAAAATATAATGAATAGCCTTGGCTAAGAAGTCAGAAGCCTAGTTTCAGGTCCTAGCTCTACCTTTTATAGTCACTTCTTTCCAGGTTTTGGCTTTTACATCCATAAATAAGACTATAACACCTGACCTAGTTCTCCAGATTGTTTTAAAACTCAAATAAGATAATACATATTAGTCTATTTTGAGATCTTTAAGAAACTCTCTAGAAATGAAGAAAGAGTATTATCAGCCCAGGTTCCTACTTCACAAAGTCTAGCTCTGTGGGCAGCACTGCTTTTACTTTAACGGAAGAGGCATTTCCACAGCACGAGAGACATCCCTTAGGACTATAGGTCCCGTGTGTGAGTTTGTGAACCTTCAAAGATCTTATAGTCCCAATTAATTCCACTGAGTTCAGCAAACTTTCCAGTGATACAAGTCACTCAATTTCTTAAAGCTGCAGTTTTCAGTAAAATAGATCTAATAATCTGAGCATTAAAAAAGCAAATACATTTACTGAGACCATTACAAGTGCTTGATAACTATAAATGTAGAATGTGCCAAATACAGTGAGGAAATAAACAAGAGAGAAGGCAGAGCTTCTGCCTACAAGGAGACTATTGGTTTGTAAGAGTGATGAGACAAGGCACCAATAACTGCAACCCAAAGCCCACGGGACCATGACTGGGAGAGATGCTCTAAGCAGAAGTAAAAGCATGAAAGCAGGAACATTCAGAGCTTGTAGACTGTTGGTGTTGTTATGTGCTGTCAAGTTGAGTTTGACTCACAGCAAATCTATACGACAGACCAGAACTGTCCAACAAGGCTTTCTAGGCATAATCTTTACGGGAGCAGATTGCCAGGTCTTTTGTACAAGGAACTATTGGTGGGTTGGAATTGTCAACTTTTCAATCAGCCATCAAGCACTTAACCATTGTGCCACCAGAGCACCTTAGAGCCTGCCTAGGGAAGAGCAACAGCTCAGCCTAGCTAGAGTCCTGCTGGAGCCAGGTTATATCCTCAATGTCTACTGAGCACCCATTATTATGGGGGACTATTTAAGAAGCTGGACTACATGAAGAAGAATGCAACATCAGGTTTGGAGGAAGACTCATTAACAACATATGATATGCAGATAATACAACCCTGCTTGTTGAAAGTGAAGAGGACTTGAAGCACTTACTGATGAAGATCAAAGACTACAGCCTTCAGTATGGATTACACCTCAACATTAAGAAAACAAAAATCCTCACAACTGGACCAATAAGCAACATCCACCATAAATGGAGAAAAGATTAAAGTTGTCAGGGATTTCATTTTACTTGGATCCATCCAATCAATAACCATGGAAGCAGCAGTCAAAAAATCAGACACCATATTGCACTGGGCAAATCTGCTGCAAAAGACCTCTTTAAAGTGTTAGATGTCACTTTGAAGGCTGACTTTGCACTTTGCACCTGACCCAAGCCATGGTCTTTTCAATCACCCCATATGCATGTGAAAGCTGGACAATGAATAAGGAAGATCGAAGAAAAATTGATACATTTGAATTGTGGTGTTGGCAAAGAATA